TTGGTTTACATGACGTGCATCAAGGTCAGCCTCTAAGCTAGCAGGGAGGTGCCATTTGCGGGATGCAAGGAAGCATGCCCATAGATCTCTGAATGGACATACAAGGTATTTAGAACAAGATTCCCTCCCCATTCAGGAATAAGAAAAAGTCGACAGTGTAATGCATGAGCGAGACAGCTAATTTTATATCCCTTCCATTTCACAGCAGACCTCGTCGTGCCCACTTGACTGTACAAAAAACAGGGTCTTAGCTCAGGGCAAAGTAAAGACAGCTGTCTGTTTGTCTTCCCAGCAACATAACAAACAATTGGCCCATTCTTCAATAGATGCCTAGATGCCATTTCTATCCTTCCTGGGACTCCGGCTTAAATAGAGAAAGGTCTCTGGCTTCATAAGATCAACTTTCTTTAGTACTTATATTTCCTGTAGCTACCACAAATGTGGTTTCTCAGACCCAAATATGACCCCAAAGCAGTGAACAAGATAATGAACAGTGAACTAGGTAATCTCAACAAAACTAAAAGCCTTATAGCCAGAGGGTCCCACATGTCTACCCAGAGAGCAGCAGTGATTAGCTAGTAATTAAACAGGAAAGCCAAAGCTGCAGCAACAGTTGTTGATCACCACACCATCCTTTCTTCTGTTGGGGCAACCAGCTAGACAATATAAATTTCCAGATGCTCATGTTATGTTTACTTTTAAAATATCTAATGACCTTCCATAGGAAAATTATGTTTGACCCAAGTACATGTAATTGTTTAGCAAACCAACTCTGTTTGGTATGATTGTATTTGTATGATTCTGTATGCCTTGTATGATTGTAGTTGCAAAGACTTTTTTTTTTTTTTTTGAAGAGGCTATTTTTTGTATTCCATCAATATTGCCCCTTGGGTTTTATTCTTACACAAGATTAAACTTTGTTTTTCTGGCATCAAACATTTTTCCCAGAGGGGGGAAAATAGATCTTGTGATATCCTATGAGATTTCAGCAATTTTACCCTAATCTCAAATGATCCTGAGCAAGAATGTTGAATTCTCACGAGAATCCAACCAAGAACACTGACTTTTAAAGAAACTGCAGTTTTTTTCCCCTAAAAGCTCATATAAACTGTCGGCATCATTTGACTTTATATTAGTTGGTAAACTTGTAAGTTTTCGTTCATTTTATTTTTAAGATATTTTTATTTAAATCCATGGAGAGGGATCCATGGGAAGTATTTAAAATGCAATGGAAGTCGTGCCAATCCAAGCGCTAACTTATTAATCAAGTAGAAACCAATTATAAAACAAGGAATGCCATGATTGGGAGAGAGGAAATTGTGTACTTCTTTACAAAAACACATGTGACTGTTTAAAACCTTCAAGAATTCTGCTTTCAATTTAGTGTAAAATTATGTTGTGTAAGGGCTGAGGCTGACACTAGCAAGATGGGAATCTGAATCTCAGGCAAGACAGAACAGTTTTGTAAACTCTAAGCAAGCCTCATCCAATCTCAAACTAGAAAGGCTATGATCAACTATCTGTTGATTTGAAAACGCAGGAAAAAAATTAAAATTTAAAATGTGGGACAAAATACTTACACAAATTTTGGATTTCTGTATTACAGGTAATCCTCGACTTGCAACTGTTCATTTAGTGTTTATTCAAAATTATGTCACTGAAAAAGTGACATGACTGTTTTTCACACTTATGACGGTTGCAGCATCCCCGTGGTCACATGATCAAAATTCAGATGCATGGCAACTGGTTCATATTTATGATGGTTGCAGTGTCCTGGGGTCATGTGATCACCTTCCAACAAGCAAAGTCAATGGGGAAGTCAGATTCACTTAACAACCATGTTACTAACTTAACTGCGACGATTCACTTAACAGTGGCAAGAAAAATGGAAAAATATCATAAAATGGAACAAAACTCACTTAACAAATGGTTCACTTAGAAACATAAATTTGGGGGGCTCAATTGTGATAGTAAGTCAAGGACTACCTGTATAAAGGAACAAGAAGCAGACCTGCACATACATTATTTTTATTTGGTATTAAATAAAGCTGTGTTATGTCTATGAACTTCTGTAAGCAAGTTCCTGATTATGGGGTGAAGAATCTGGACAGTCAAAATTTAGTCTCATGTCTAGGTGCCTTGCTGACAAGGAGGAAATGTTGTTTTTTTAAACAAAATTTGCCTTTCGGATATATAAATTTTGTGCACAAGAGCTTTTCTAGGAAATCAGTATCAATCCTAAGAGACATTCTGAATTTCCAAATTGAATATGTTCCATAATGAATTCCAAAAGCAAACCAAAGGGCCAAAGAAAAAGTTGCTTTAAGTATATAATTTGGCACTGTTTACATCTGTTTTTTCGCTGAAATTTAATCAAGATCATAAATGCAATATGGATACTAAGATAATCTCTTCATTTGGTGCTATGGTCCCTGAGAAAAATTACCTCCATTCCCTAAAACTATTCTATGCAATTTACTGCTTCATCTATTATGAATATTTAAAACTGAATTATGTTTCCTTATTTATGGCAATAGTAAAAAGTTATGTTTCAAAATTGTTGCCCATGAATCAGCCATATAATTGCTTATTCAATTAGATAGAAGCAGTTCTTCACCTAGCTATTACAGGATGTCCACTGTGGTAGGACGCTTGCCGGAATTACATTATTTGCCCACTCTGCCATGCTCATGCTGTATTGTGAATTTTGTCAAGCAACAGAGAAATCAGAAGATTCAGGCAGTTCAAATAAGTATAGAGATTTATTGCAAAGCGCTCTCTACAAGAATCTGAACTACTAATGGTCAAGGGAAATTAGCGGGAGTTAAAAATAGAAAGGAATCCAAAGACTTAGATCTCTTGTGGGGATTCCTGACTGATGATGCGTTTGGCCCCTCCCTCAGGCTCAGTCTGGTCATCTCCTACAAATTTGTGCTTAAACTTATTTTAATGGAAGCACTTAGTCACACGGTACTGAAGAACACTTCTACTTTATGCTTATAATCAGTGGTGGGATTCAAATATGTGAACAACCGGTTCTCTGTGTGGATGCCACTACCGGAAGTCCATTCTGGGCCTGGGCAATAAAAAATTAGCTACCAGTTCTGCC